CTTTAATAAGTGTCCTATGTTTGAATTTATTACTGAAAAGTCTCATTTTTTTTCGAGTTAACAGGAGTAAAGAAAAACAAATTGGCCATTTTCAGTGATAGATAAAACATCTCCACCTTTGTTATAACTTGTGGTGACAATGAGATTTGAGCAAGGTCCTCCCATCGGAATTATGCTATAGATTATAAATGCTCCTCAGTGAGTACCAACCTGGATTCCAATTCTCATCTGTCAAAAGCACTCAGGACCCAGTTATGATGTTGGAAAGAATTTCATCGCTGGTCCTCATATTTCAGACCTGACAAATCATTAGTGCCTTTGTTCTAATAAAAACTGAAAGAACTGCGGATGCTGTAAATCAGAAACAAAAACAAAGTTGCTGGAAAAGCTCAGCAGGTCTGGCAGCATCTGTGAAGGAAAAAACAGAGTTAATGTTTCAGGTCCAGTGACCCTTCCCCAGAACTGATGGTAGCTGGGAAAACGTTAGTTTATATGCAGTAGAAAGGAGAGGGGGATGGGGTAGGGAATAAACAATAGGATAGAGCCTAAAGAGAGAGAAGAGCAGTTGGACAGACAAAGGAGTTGCTAACAATCAGACTGGGAGGGTGAGTAATTGTTAATGGGGACTGTTAGTGACTAACAACAGCGGGTGTGCAATGGCAGGCTATGTGGTAACAAGGCCTGGTGTGTGGGGTGGGGGGCTGGGATATGGAGAGTTTAGGCCCTAAAATTAGTGAACTCAATATTGAGTCTGGAGGGCTGCAGGGTCCCCAAGCGGAAAATGAGGTGTTGTTCCTCCAGCTTGCGTTGGGCTTCACTGGAACACAGTAGCAAGCCGGAGACAGAGATGTTGGCCAGGGAGCAAGGTGGTGCACCGAAGTGGCAGGCAACAGGTAGCTCAGGGTCTTTTTTGCCAGCAGAACGTAGATGTTCTGCGAAGTAGTCACCAAGTCTACGCTTCGTTTCCCCAATGTAGAGGAGACCACATCGTGAGCAGCGAATGCAGTAGACTAGATTCTGGGAAGTGCAGGTGAAGTGTTGCTTCACCTGGAAGGTATGTTTGGGCCCTTGGATAGTGGGGAGGGAGGAGGTAAATGGGCAGGTGTTGCACCTTCGCCGGTTACAAGGGAAGGTGCCGTAAGGCTGTGGGGAAGCGTTGGGGGTGAAGAAAGTGTGGTCTAGGGTGTCCCGGAGGGAACGGTCCCTGCAGAAGGCAGACAAAGGGAGGGGAGGGGAATATGTGTCTGGTGGTGGCATCTTGCTGGAGGTGGCGGAAATGGCATCTGATGATCTTCTGGATGTGGAAGTTGGTGGGATGGTAGGTAAGGAGAAGGGGAACCCTATCGCTGTTGCGGGAGGGAAGAGAAGGGATGTGGGCAGAAGTGCGGGAGATGGGTCAGAGCCGGTTGAGGGCCCTGTCGACAATGGAGCTGGGAATCCTCGGTTAAGGAAGAAGGTGGACATTTCGGATGCTCCCTTTGTCGAAGTTGGCCTCATCTGAACATATGGGACTGAGACAGAGGAACTGAAAGAATAGGATGGAGTCTTTACAAGAAACAAGGTGTGAGGCTGTATATTCCAGGCAGCTGTGGGAGTCAGTGGGTTTATAGTGGATATTAGTGGCCAGTATATCCCCAGAAATGGAAACAAGAGACTTTGAGGAAGGGAATGGAGGAGTCAGAGATAAACCAGGTGAAAGTGAGGGCAGGGTGGAAATTGGAGATGAAATTGATGAAGTTTTCCAATTCCAGACGAGAGAGGAAAGCAGCACCGATGAGATCATCGATGCATTGGAGAAAGAGTTGTGGGTGGGGGCCAGAATAAGACTGGAACAAGGAATGTTCCAAGTACCCCATGAAGAGACAGGCTTAACTGGGGACCATGCAGGTCCCCATGGCCACCCCTCTTACCTGAAGAAAATGAGAGGAGTTAAAAAGAGAAGTTGTTGAGGGTGAGGACGAGCTCGGCCAAGCGGAGGACGCTGGTGGTGGGTAGGGATGGTACAGGTCTTTGCTCCAGGGAGAAGTGCCTTTGTTCTGTTGGTGATCCTCTTGGGTTCTGCAGAGACAGCTCTGGCTGGTTCCACAAACACAAGAATTCAATAGAGATGTTGTAAGAAGTGAAAGAGACCATCGCCTTCAATGGACTGGAGCATCGTACACAATTTAAACCTGTGGCGGTCACAGACTTTAATGAATCAGACACAGTTTCCTCTCATTGTCAGGATTATTTGATCCTGAATTTCCTACATCACAGCAGTGACTACACATTAAAACTATTGGCTGCTGAACAGCTTGGAGAGGATATCCTGAGATTATGAAAGGCAATCATAAAACAAAGAGAAATTCATTCTTTCAAGCTTCGCAAAGCTGTTGAAGTTTAAAGAGGGAAACTGATCAATGGCAATCTTCTTTACAGGGAAGTCAAACCAAACTTTGATTAACGGTAATGCGCAAAATGTTCAAAAGGAAACAAGGAAAACCCTCCTCCCACCTCAACCCCCACCCCCATCTCCTACCTACCAGCCTCATCCTGCCCCCTTGACCTGTCCTTTCTCCCTGGACTGACCTATCCCCTCCCTAACTCCCCACCTACACTCACCTTTACTGGCTCCATCCCCGCCTCTTTGACCCGTCTGTCTCCTCTCCACCTATCTTCTCCTTTATCCATCTTCTATCCGCCTCCCCCTCTCTCCCTATTTATTTCAGAACCCCCTACCCTTCCTCCATTTCTGAAGAAGGGTCTAGGCCCGAAACATCAGCCTTCCTGCTCCTCTGATGCTGCTTGGCCTGCTGTGTTCATCCAGCTGTACACCTTGTTATCTCAGATTCTCCAGCATCTGCAGTTTCTACTATCTCTGATACAGCTCTACATCTTGTTATCTCTCTATCAAAGAAAACCACTATCAAATTTCAAACTAAATCTCAGCGTGATATTGGGTGCTTCAGGTTTTGCTCTGATCTCATCAATTACAAGTAAAGTTTAAAAAAACCCAGGTGAATTCTTACCCGAGCAGAGGCATGTTGATCAGCTATGAAGAAAGTTAATGATTATTTTCTCTGTCTCTAAAAAACAATCAAGGAAATCTTTCCAGGCCATTACAAGCAATTCACCACAATACACTGATTGTCCCCCTGGGAAACGTGGATCAGAGCTTGCACCAAACTCCAGGGTTCAAGCACACTGCTTCCCAAACATTTTCTCACTGAGGGTGCAGTTCAAGATGAGGAAAGTATTGTGAAATCCCAGTGATTGTTGGAGGTCATACATCTCAGCTCCAGGCCATCTCTGCAGGAGTTCCTCAGGATAGTGTCCTAGGCCCAACCATCTTCAGCTGCTTCATCAATGACCTTCCCTCCATGATAAGGTCAGAAGTGGGGATGTTCGCCGATGATTGCACAATGTTCAGCACCATTCGTGACTCCTCAGATACTGAAGCAGTCCAGGTTCAAATGCAGCAAGACCTGGACAATATCCAGGCTTGACTGAAAAGTGACAAGTAACACACATTCATACCATACAAATGCCAGGCAATGACCATCTTTAACAAGAGAGAATATAAACATCACTGTTGACATTCCATCGCTGACACCATCCAGGACAAAGCAGCCACTTGATTGGCACCACATCCACAAACATTCACTCCCTCCACCACCGATGCTCAGTAGCAGCAGTGTGTACTATCTACAAGATGCACTGCAGAAATTCACCAAAGATCCGAACCCATGCCCACTTCCATCTAGAAGGATAAGGGCAGCAGATACACGGGAACATAACCCCATGCAAGTTTCCCTCCAAGCCAATCACTTGGAAATATATCACCGTTCCTTCAGTGTTGCTGGGTCAAAATCCTGGAATTCCCTTTCTAAGGGCAGCACGGTGGCTCAGTGGTTAGCACTGCCTCCTCACAGCACCAGGGACTCAGGTTCGATTTCACCCTCTGGTGACTGTGTGGAGTTTTCACATTCTCCCGTGTCTGCGTGGGTTTCCTCCGGGTGCTCCGGTTTCCTCCCACAGTCCAAAGATGTGTAGGCTAGGTGGATTGGCCATGCTAAATTACACGTAGTGTCCAGGGATGTGTAGATTAGGTGGGTTATAGGGGAAGGGGTCTGGCTGGGATGTTCTGAGGCTCAGTGTGGACTTGTTGGGCCGAAGGGCCTGTTTCGATACTGTAGGAATTCTATGATATCAAATGATCTGTGGTAAGTTCATTGTGTGTCAACCTACAGCACATGGACTGTAACTGTTCAAGAAGGCAGCTCACCACCGCCTTCTCAAGTGACAACAAGGGACGGGCAATAAATGCAGGACCCAGCCAGTGAGACCCATGTCTGGTGAGTGAATTCAGAAAAATAATCTGGAGCAGCGGCAATGAGGTTCTGGGGCGTTGGGTTGACTGCTGATTGCACTCAAAGACTCTAACAGAAGCAAATAGTCTTCGCTATCTGAGATAGTAGGAACTGCAGATGCTGGAGAATCTGAGATAACAAGGTGTAGAGCTGGATGAACACAGCAGGCCAAGCAGCATCATAGGAGCAGGAAGGCTGACGTTTCGGGCCTAGACCCTTCTTCAGAAAATGGGGTAGTGAATTCCATCGTGAATCTATGGAATTCACTACCCCAAAGTGCAGTGAATTCCACAATATTGAGTACATCTAAAGAGGAGATAGAGATTTTTAATGAATAACGTGTTGAAAGGTTATGGAAAACAGACAGGAAAGTGGAATTGAAGCTGAGATGAGATTAACCTGATCGTATTAAATAATAGTGCAGGCTTGAAGGGCTGAATGGCCTGAACCTGTTCTTAATTCTTATTTTCTTATGAAGCCACTATCCTGCTCAATGTTTTTGTTCTTAAGTGATTCACATTAGTTCCTTTTAGTGAAACAACAGCCTGTCAATATTGTCAGTGGAACAGTGCCCCTTTAATTAAAAATAGGAGCAGAAAGTGAAACTGTTACGTTGCAATGACTTTCTGCTGGCTGCACTATCAACAGGAAGCTAGTTGGTTTGAATAACATCTTTTTGAGAAATGGAAGCAGGAGGGAAGATATCCTGGCTGGAAGATGAGCTCTCGTGCCCGATTTGTCAGGATATCTTCAAGAACCCTGTCTCTCCCCCATGTCAACACAATTTCTGCTGGGCATGTCTGATGAGTTACTGGAAGAAGAAAAGGAACTCTGAGTGTCCTGTTTGCAGAGAAATATATTCCACCAAAGATTTAAAATGGAATCGCACACTGGCCAACATTGTGGAGTCTTTCCTCAAGGAGTTCACAAAGGAACAGGAGGTGGGTCATGCAGACCCAGTCTGCAGCCTACATAAGGAGGTCCTGAAGCTGTTCTGTCAAGAAGACCAGGAGGTGATGTGTGTTGTTTGCCTGCATTCGAGCAAGCACGAAAACCATAAGTGTCGCCCTTTGGAGGAAGCAACTAAAGAATCAAAGGTATGGTGAGTGTAAGGATCAGTAAGGGAGGGGGCAGCCTGCTGCCCAGGTACCTAGCAGCAGTAATTACAGGCACACTCTCATATCTACACAGCACACTGCCTGAATGGGAGCTAGGAGAGGGTAGGCATTAACTACACAGAATGGAATGCTCAAGAAACTGTTGGCAATGTGCTGGCCTGGAAGGTCTGTTGAAAATCTTATTTTCCTCTTTTTTTTTGTCTTGAAATTGAAAATCTGCCAACTGAACCAGAATCCATTGTATCATTGTGTAACAATGCATAATTTTCCAGAGGAATATTACACAGTTACTACAGACAGCAGAAAAACAGACCAGCCATGCAGCGCACTGCTCTGTTTTAGAATTCCAGTTGAGCTGCCCCATCCTTTTCCTCATTGCAAATGGCCCTGTCTGCACATAGAACATAGAACATACAGCACAATACAGGCCCTTCGGCCCACAGTGTTGTGCTGACCTATTATCCTACTAAGATCAATCTACCCTGCATACCCTACATTTTACTATCCTCCATGTGCCTATCCAAGAGTCGCTTAAAAGTCTCCAAAGTATCTGACTCCACTACCACTACCACTGCCGGCAGCGCATTCCACACGCCCACCCCTCTCTGTGTGAAGAACCTACCTCTGACATCTCCCCTATACCTTCCTCCAATCACTTTAAAATTATGCCCCCTTGTAATAGTCATTTCCGCCCTGGGAGAAAGTCTCTGACTATCCACTCTATCTATGCCTCCCATCATCTTGTACACCTCTATCAAGTCACCTCTCCTCCTTCTTTGCTCCAATGAGAAAAGCCCTAGCTCCCTCAACCTTTCCTCATAAGACCTGCCCTCCAGTCCAGACAGCATCCTGGTAAATCTCCTCTGCACCCTCTCTAAAGCTTCCACATCTTTCTTATAATGAGGTGACCAGAACTGATCGCAATATTCCAAGTGTGGTCTAACCAGAGTTTTATAGAGCTGCTGCATAACCTCACGGCTCTTAAACTCAATTCCCCTGCCAATGAAAGCCAATGCACCATATGCCTTCTTTACAACCCTATCAACTTGCATAGCAACTTTGAGGGATGATCTGATCTGAATATAGTGCTCCTGGAAGCCCATCAGAAGAAGGTAACCAGCATCTTTATGTTTTTAAAGTTTGGATCTACCCCTTTAACTTTTCAAGTGTTTATGAGATGGGCTTTTAGCCAATGGGTTTTCATAGGAACATAGGTTCATACAATATAGGAGCGGAAATAGCCCCTTGAACCCACTGTGCCATTCTACACAAATGTGGCTGATCAGGCTTTGGTGTCACTTCCATTTTCCTGTCTATTCTCTGTCTCCTTGTCTAGCTCAATACCCCAGTCTCCAAAGTTCTCTGGAGCAAGAGAATTCCCACAACACAAACTTGCGAACCTCTGAGAGAAGAAATTCCTCCTCATCTCCATCTTAAACAAGACACTCCTGATTTAGGAAACTGTGTCCCCTTTATGTAGCTCCAGTGAGAGGTCATTGGTTCCAGTCAGTTAGTGGCCAGCCTGTCATAGTGTGAGGGCTTGATGTTCAGGATCACCCTACACCATTTTCCAAGTGCAATTGGCTACTGACCAGTGTTCATCTATGTGTAGGAATTCCTCAGTAATGCAGACATCACTGGCTGGATTAGCATTTATTGCCCATCCCTAATTCCCAGAAGGCAGTTAAAAATCAATTAACTACATTGCTCTGGACTTGGAGTCACCTGTATGTCAGCAGGTTTCCCTTCACTGAAGGCATTAGGAAACCAGACAGGTCCTGATAATAATGACTGCCTTTAGGCGAGTTTTCAATTTATGACAGCTCCCCACCCCCTCATTGAATTTAAAGTTCAGCAATTTGAACTGGAATGTTAGTCGGTGATCTGGAATTACTTGTGACATTGTTGGTATACCAACAGCTGGCCTCTTTATGGGTGGCCTAAATTCCTCTTTCTCCTTATAATGTCAGGGTGAGATAAAATATTAACCTGCAAGGACTCTTCAGCTTCCCTTGATCTTCATTACCCACTCCCTCATTTGTCCTGCCACCCTCTTGAACTTCTACACTATCCTCCTAATCACAAAAAATTCTTCCAGATTTTGTATCGTCTGCAAACTTTGAAACTGTGCTAGAAGTTGTCAAGATTTATCTTGTCTTTTACGTCTTTAGTCAACCCCTTTTTGTTGTATTTATCATGTTAATTTCATTTTCAACCACCTCCCACCCTCACTCCACACTGACAGATTTGTCTAGTTTATTGTGAACAGAAGTTGCTGGAAAAGCTCAGCAGATCTGGCAGCTTCTGTCAAGAAAAATCAGAGTTAATGTTTCGGGTCCGGTGACCCTTTCTCAGACCGGACCTGAAACGTTAACTCTGATTTTTTCTTCACAGATGCTGCCAGACCTGCTGAGCTTTTCCAGCAACTTCTGTTTTTGATGCTGATTTACAGCATCTGCAGTTCCTTCGGTTTTTATTGTGAACAGTTTCTTAGCACATTGAGGTCAGTCTCACCCAAAACTAGACTCTTAGCAGCTGTTTCACATTTCTCTCTCTTTCAGACATTGTACTGAATTTGATCATATTATGATCACTCTTTGATAAATGTTTATGCAGCATTAGGCTGTAATGAAATCTTTATTTTTGTTCATTACACTAAATCTCATATCGTTATTCATTTATTGTTGCAGAAAACTATTTCAGACACACTCAAGACATTTATTGTATTCCTGACATACACCAATCTACCTGAAAGTTACAGTTCCCCATTAAAACCTCTTAATGCCCATTTAGCTTTAGTTGCTTCATTCCACTCACAGAATGGGCCTAAGTGATGTCTTACTGGAAGTCTTGTGGTTGGGTTATCTTCATCCAATCTCTGTTCCTTGCAGCTACAATATTGTTGCTCTAGAAGTGAGCACTCTTGGCTAAGAAGAGTATTCTTTTTAAAAAGTTCAAGATTCCAACATATGTTCAGTCAATTGTATTACATTTCAAAAACCACACCTTTCTAACAATATGCTCTCTTACCACTGCAGTGATTTCATCCTGCATCACAAATTTTATTTGTCCCCCTCTACCATTTTCCCCATATTTCCTGTAGACCTGATTCCTTTAGTTTCCAGCTGTGTTTACTTTCAGTTTGCAGGTTCCAGCCACCTCCTCTTTGCCATGGATATGCAATCCCTTTAGACGTCCATTCCCCACCAGGAGGGTCTTAGGGCTCTCCACTTCTTCCTGGAGCAAGGACCTGAACCGTCACCATCCAACACCACTCTCCTCCACTGGGCCGAGCTCATCCTCACCCTCAACAACTTCTCTTTTAACTCTTCTCATTTTCTTCAGGTCAGAGGGGTGGCCATGGCACCCGCATAGGCTACAGTTAGGTCTGTCTCTTCATGGGGTACATGGAATATTCCTTGCCCCACCAACTCCCACAGCTACCTGGACTATACATCGTTGCACCCTGCTTCCTGTAAAGACTCCATCCCATTCTCTCAGTTCCTCCGTTTATGTTGCATATGTTCAGATGAGGCCAACTTCGACAAGGGAGCCTCCGAAATGTCCCACCTTCTTCCTCAACCGAGGATTCCCCAGCTCCGTGGTCGACAGGGGCCTCAACCGGGTCCGACAAATCTTCCGCACTTCCGCCCTCACCCCCTTCTCTTCCCTCCCACAACAGCGATAAGGTTCCTCTTATCCTCACCTACCATCCCACCAGCATCCACATCTGGAAGATCATCAGATGCCATTTCCGCCACCTCCAGCAAGATGCCACCACCAGATACATATTCCCCTCCCCTCCCTTTTCCGCCTTCTGCAGGGACCGTTCCCTCCGCGACACCCTGGTCCACACGTCCTTCACCCCCAACACCTCCCCACAGCCCTACGGCACCTTCCCCTGTAACCAGCAAAGGTGCAACACCTGCCCATTTACCTCCTCCCTCGCCAAGGTGACATGTAAGGAATTATCCCTCATTTGTTTCTCATATTCTGATAATGTTATCATTAGTGTTTTACAACATGAATTAGCACCTTGACAGGTTTGGGTTCAGCTGCCTGACCTAAAACATCTGTTGACTCCAGGACTGTAGACGTGGCCTTTCCACAAAGTGTAACTAATCTCAGGTTAAATTGGCCATCTGTCCATTTCCATCCAACTTGTAGAATCAAAATCGCTCCCTATGTATTTATCTGCCTCTTTAAATTGAATCAATGTTAAATAGATCTTCAATGTATCTTGCAAGTGATTGGGAACATAATTTTTCATGTCACACACTTAGAATTATGACCATTCGTGTATTACTAGCCCTTTGGATAGAAGCCCAAAGCTAGCCAGACTTTCTCAAACTACTATCTTTGGTGTGTCCATCAGGTTTGGGAAGTCTGTAGTGAGGTAGTTGTTTTTGGCTGGCACAGACCCAATGGGCCAGGAGGTCTTTTTTCTGCTTCAGAACTTTATGACACTGACCCTGTGGCTCTCTTCACTCATTTACCCTGAATACACTTTTCCACTTGCAGAGAAATTGTCAGTAACAATGCGTGAGCATTCTTACGAGCACCAAAATGGTAATTTGTAACCATTTATTTATTTAAAGCATCAATGAGAGAAATTCACAAAGTGTCAAATATTAGTATAATTTGCAGCTGCATCCTGTAGTCATGCAAAAATAGAACCTTAATGTGTCAGCTTCAGTAATCTCTGTTGAACACATTGGTCCCTGATGCTTGTCTGTAGTCCTCAAGCCTGAGCTGTTGTTATCATACCCATACTGTCTTCCTCTTGTTTTACACAATGAAACATTATAAAACTGAATTTTTAAACAATTATTCTTCCAGGAAGAGTTGAAGATCCTGATGAAGTCTCTAAAATCCAAGGTGGTGAAATTCAGTGCGATCAGAAATGAGTATGAGCTCACCTTAAAGCATGTCAAGGTAAGTTCCCTGCAATTAGACTCAATTGCTCCTTGCAGAACTAACTTTGAAGATTAGGCTCAGTAAGCCTCATTCTTAAATAAAGCAAAACCTTCTGTGCCTATTCAGAATTAGAATTCCAAATCTGTGGCCTACAAGTGAATAAAATTATGGTTATAATGAACGTGTGTGAATTTGCAGTTTTGTTGTTTTAGATGGCCCAGTCTTCACTCTCTTGCAAAGTGCTCCCCATGTGGGCTGATAGTTCAAACGTTACATATAAACAACAAAATCTGCAAAGCAGAAATAGACAAGTAAAGCACCGACTCTACTGAAATTTGGATGAGGTTAACATATGCAAATTATCACGGATGCCAATAAATATTCAGTGAAGGTAACAGAAAAAAATTGCACACCTTGACTAATATCTGCCAGAACGAATATTGAGTCTCATACTGCACTGTGGGAGCAACTTTGGAAATCAACCCCCACTATTCCAGGAGTCTTCACAAACCTGAAAGATTCAATTAAAACAGGGCAAAAGTGCCCATTTACCTTTCTTTTACACTCAGGTTGACTGTAAACACCAACCAGGTTTCTGTACTTAATAATGATTACCATTTATTACAGATAAATAGACACTAGCTGCATTGAACTTTTGACATATAACTCTACTCAGTAAAGCTTTGGCCCCCTTAGAAGTGCCGTTGCACACATTAATAGATTTAAAAACGTTGGTGCTATGGATGGAGGGGAAACCTGTGAAGGCATTTCAATGGTCTCTAGCCACAAGATTCACTAATTCGATCCTTTCAGCTCCTCCTTGATCTCTGTTGATCAGGTACTTACACTGTACTTTCAGGTAGGAGACTCACAACGGGACTAATGGTGAGGCCACTGCATTTAATTCTGGTCTCCCTGATATAGGAAAGATGTTGTGAAACTTGAAAGGGTGCAGAAAAAATTTACAAAGATGTTGCCGAGGGTTGGAGGATTTGAGCTATAGGGAGAGGCTGAATAGGCTCAGCTATTTTCCCTGGAGCATCAGAGGCTGAGCGGTGACTTTATAGAAATTCATAAAATCATGAGGGGCATGGATAGAGTGATTCGCCAAGGTCTTTACCCCAGGGTACAGGAGTCCAAAACTAAAGGGCATATGTTTAAGGTGAGAGGCACTTTGGGATTAGCCCAGCTGCAGGCAGGAATGTCAGCATGTGGCATTACACGATAGCTGGTAGGTGACTGAAGTTAATTCTATCCCTAAGGTTCAAAATGATGAGGTTAATAAAATATGTAAAATCATAAAATAAGTATTTGAATAAAGTGATTAAACAATTACTGAGACTGCATTAAGGATGGCAGAATGGGTGATGCATCACAGCTGCAGCATGTCACGTCTCCTGGGTGCAAGTATGATCCAGAGCAAACAGCTCTGTGGGAAGTGTTTGAGGCTTGAGGAGCTTCACTTTTGAAGAGGCTGAACTACAGACATTACAGTCCATCAGGAAGGGGGAGAATGCTTTGTACCAGAACACGGTTGTAATTCTTAGGACAAGGTCTTCTGATTCAGTCAGTGCTGAAGGATTGGAGAGCATGATTGTGAGCGAGGGACCAAGAAGGCTGCAGTACAGGAGCCTGATTACCTGCCAGGTCTCAGATTCTTTCAGCTGGTCTGGGTGAGAGTGGGGATGGCAGGGTGGATAATTGAACTGACTGTGGTACTGTAGCGCAGGAAGCCATTCAAGTGGGAGCACAAGAGTGAATATAGTCTTAGTAGGGGGTGATATAGTGAGGGAGATTGACATCATTTTGTGCAGCAAAGAGTGACAGTCCAGATGGTTGTGTTGTCTGTCTGATGTCAGGGTTCAGGACATCTGCTCAGGGTTGGACAGGAAGTTGCAATGCAGGGGAAGGATCCAGTCATTGTGGGTTTTGCAGGTTCTGATGATATATACAAAAAAAAGGAGGTTCTGTATAGTCCGAATGAGGTGATCAGCTCTAAATTAATCAGCAGATCCTCAAATCCCTGGATTATTCTCTGATCCATGTGCAAACTGCCCGAGAGCAAATCAGAATAAAGAGATGAGTGTGTGATCACAGACTGATGTGGGGTAACTGGGTCCTGACTCATGGGGTAATAGCACCAGTCCTAGGGACAGTGTGATCTCAACCAATGGCATGGTCTCCACCCAAACCCTGCTGGGACTGTACAATGGGGACAGGAGAGAACCTTAAACTGACCAGTGGAAATTTCAGAAAATTATCGATTTGAGAGTGAAGCCAATCAATAAGAGAAAGGCATTAATAGAGGAATGTATAAAACAGAATGCGACAAGAAGTGACAGAGAATATAAATTAAAGAGTAAATCAATAGACAGAATGCAAGAATGCAAAAACCTGGAGAAAGACTGGATTGGTTTGGGTTATATTCATTGGTGTTCAGAAGAATGAGGGAGGATCTCATGGAAACCAATAAAATTCTAACAGGCACTAGACAGGATAAACACAGGCAGGGTGTTCCCAATGTGTGGGGAGTCCAGATCTGGGAGTCACAGTCTAAGGATACAGGATAGGCCATTTAGGACAGAGATGAAGAGATACTTCTTCACCCAGAGAGTGGTGAGCCTGTGGAATTCTCCACTGCAGAAAGTAGCTCTGACCAAAGCATTGAATGTTTTCAGGAAGGAGTTAGAAATAGTTCTCATGGCTAAAGGGATCAAAGGGTATGGGGAGAAAGCAGGAACAGGGGAATGATTAGATGATCAGCTGTGATCAGGTTGAATGATGGAGCAGACTCAGAGGGTGTCCTGCCCCTATTTTTATAGACTCCCCACATTCAGCCCATTGAGTCTACTCTGACCCATCCAAAAAATATCCCACCCAGACCCAAACCCCACCCCCCACCCCTGTAACTCTGCAATTCCCATGGCTAACCCGCCTGGCCTGCAGACTATGGGCAATTTAGCATGGCCAATCCACTTAACCTGGGAGGAAACCGGAGCACCTGAAGAAACCCATGCAGACACAGGGAGAATGTGCAAACTTCACACAGACAGTTGCCTGAGGGTGGAGTTGAACCCAAGTTCCTGATGTAGTGAGGCAGCAGTGCTGGCCACTGAGCCACCATGCTGCTCTTTTCTATGTTTCTATGTAAGGCTGTATCTCCATTCACACAGCATTTGAAATAAATGAATAAGTACAAGCTGGAAGCTATTATAGAAACATTGCTGAAGGTGACATGGATGATAACTGAACCTTGAAGAGTACCGTACATTTAGGAAGAACAGAAAGCTAAGAAAAGGTGGAGGGGTGGCTCGATTAGTTAGTGATGATATTAATGCAATAGAGAGGAATGACTATAATTCAGAAAACCGAGCAATGGTAAAGGTAAGAGGTCACTTGTGGTGATGGTGTACAGTCAGCCTTAACAGTAAGAACCCATTGGAGAGATTCTTCGTCCAGCACATACTTGACCCAATCAGAGAGCAGATAATGCCAGATGTGGTATTGTGCAATGAATCAGGGTTAATTAATGATCTCATAGTGAAGGTCCAGCTAATCAGCAGCAAGCATAATACGATTGAATTTTACATTCATTTTGAGGGAGAGAAGAGTGGGCTCCAGACTATTTTTAAAAATTAAATAAGGACCATTATGAAGGCATGAAGGGGATGCAGTGACAGACATGTAAGGAAATATTTCAGAATGCATGGAATAGATACATTCCAATGTGTAACAAACATTTCAAGGGACAGACCCAACATCTGTGCTTAACCAGAAATGTTAAAGTTAATATCAGACTAAAAGAAAAGTCACATAATTGTCTAAAGACAAGTATCAGATCAGAAGAGGGCACAATATAAAAAGCAGCAACTAATTTCCAAATCCATGACCACTTCCATCTATAATGATAAGAGCAGAAGATACCACCCACTATAAGTTCCCCTCCAAACCACTCACCATCCTGTCATGGAAATATATTGCCATTCCTTCAGTATCACTAGGTCAAAATCCTGGAATTCCCTCCCTTAGAGCATTGTGGATCAACCCACAGCACATAAACAGCAGCTGTTCAAGAAGGCAGCTCACCCCCAGCTTCTCAATGGGCAACGAGGGATGGCCAATAAATACTGGCCCAGACAGAAATGCCCATATCCCATGATCAAATAACACTATGATATTGGTGGATCTTATAAAGCAGGCCCATGTCAATTAAATAAAACAAAAAACTGAAGATGTTGGAATTCTGAACCTTAAACAGAAATTGCCGGAGAAATTCAGCAGGTTTAGCAGCATCTGTAGAGAGAGAAACAGAGTTAAAGTTTCGGGTCCAGTGACCCTTCTTCAGAACTGATATCAGTTTGGGAAGGATGGCATTTATGCTGAAGCTGGTTGAGGAAGGAATGAGTTGAATAGATGGATCTGGTGCCCAGAGAGAGGGAAAAAAAAATAAAGGCAGGCATGGTTTATGTTAACTCCTCAGAAGCTGAATGATAGGCCCTGTAAGCAGAGTTGGCATTTTAAGCTCTTTAAGAAATAGGTTTAGCAGTGAACTACAAGATTGGATGATGAGATGAGATAGTCTCTCTCATTTCGGAGCTTGTTTGCTTTAACAAAATCCTGAGCCAGTGTGATATAAAAACACTACAATTAAAACAGAAAGTGCTGGAGAAACTCAGCAGGTCTGGCAGCATCTACGAAGAGAGAAACAGAGTTAACATTCCGAGTCTGGCATGACTCTTTTCCACAACTGTTTATTTTTATCTCCAATCTCTAGCATTGTCAGAACTTTGCTTTCATTTTCATGTTGATAGACCATGGTTCAGGATTGACATTGACTCCAAATGTGCAACATAACATTTCTCATTCCGCCGAACCTCAATTCGGACTTTTCCTCAGTCAATGTGCACGGCTTACCAGATCTGGATTACAAAGTTAAGGAGAATGGGATGTTGCCAACACATTCTGTCCCACTATCCCTTCTCAGGAACAATATAGTGTCTGTGTGCACCCCTTGTTCCCCTGCTGTTCTCCCTCACAGCATCTCCTCATCACCCATTGATCTCAGGCTGGAATTGTTTGGATCTGAGAGATGTAAAACTAATTATTGTTCAGTGTTTTCCTTGGCTGTGTTTGCTGACTGACTCACACTCCCAGCTGTGACTGATCCCGACCCTGGCAAAAACAGCCCGTAATTTACCAGGGATAACTCTCCCACAAATATAATCCTCCAGCAAATGTATCATCTTCTCATCGCAATAATCCGCCAAACCTAAAACTCTTTTCACTGGCCCCCAACTCCAAAAACATCTCACACTGCAATTAGCTTTCCACCCAATCTGAAAGGATCAGCTAAATGCAAATTCTTTAGACTCAAAATAAGAAGAGAAAGTGCTGGTCAATCTCAGCAGGTCTGGTAGCATCTGTGGAGAGAGAAAAACTGTTAATGTTCCAAGTCTGATATGACTCTGCTTCAGGTGAGCTCTGAAGGAGAGTTGTATCAGACCTGAAGAATTCTGAGGAAGGGTCACTCGACCCGAAATGTTAATTCTGATTTCTCTCCATAGTTGCTGCCAGACCTGCTGAGTTTCTCCAGCGCCTTCTGTTATATTTCAGATCGCTAGCATCGGCAGTGTTTTGTGTTTACTTCTTCAGACTCAAACTGTTTTTGGTTTCTAACAGAGCCAGGCTTCGGGAACTGAGAAACAAATCAAACAGGAATTTCAGAAGCTTCACTCTTTCCTTCACAACGAAGAGAAGATTCTAATGAGCAATCTCCGAAAGGAGGAAGAACATCATATTCAGTTAATGAGGCAAAAAATCAAGGAGGTCTCTGAGGACATATCCTCATTAGAGGCCACCATTCAGTCAATCGAGAGTGAGCTCAGTCAAAAGGACTCAGCACTTTTCTTACTGGTGAGTAACAGCAGCTCAGGAAGCATGAGGTCACAGGGTGGAGGATTAGGGTTAATGGGAAACCAGCCAGCAGAACGATGGAATGGAGGATTAATTTAATGTCCTTTTGTTTAACATCCTCCATGTTATGCTCCTTGTGTAACGCACCATATTTGATTTATTTATTTGTTTATTGTTACAAAATACATTGACATGTTGTATCGTGTCACCACTCTCCATCTTAAAATGCAGAAAAAGAAACCAAAGTGTAGAATATAAAAGCAGGAGGACAAAGAAATAAAGAGAAAATGTGTTCACCTTTACAGTCCTTCTTGTTAAGTACCCCATCATGGGCCATGGGCCTGGTGGTCACGCACAAGACCCTTTCACCGCCGCTGGAGCCAACGTCACCAACTTTTTGGTGCCATCTCACCTCCACCAATGCCCTCACCACTGAGTGCTCGATGGACCTTGCCAATGCAGATGCCACCGATGCTGCCGGGTACCACACTGGCCCAAGTTCGACTCCACCACCGCCATCACCATATCAATGTTTGCCGATGGCATTAATGTCAGAATAATCTGCAATCAATTTGCACACAGTTAAATCTGACAAAACAGTTTGAGCTGAGGAGCTGTCTGGTTAGATTCTGGTGGTGCTGGTTTAGGGAGAAGTGTTGATGCAGACACTGAGGAATCATGAGCACTACAACACTATTTGATGTTCTCAGTGAGGTATTCAGCCTCAGATTGTCTGTTGCATTACCTTTACTTCATATCAACCCTGGATATTAGATTATATAATTTGTTATACATTATATACACAAATACAGTATATATACACATTGTCTGTGCAGTGGATTGTTTTATTTTTCTTTGTTTGGTAAATTTTATTTTGGTTTGTTCAAAATCACCATATCTTTATTCTCTTTACTACCTGCCTTAGTGAAACATTGTTTACTTTAGATTAAAAGTAATGTTCGGGAGGCAATGACCTATTGGTATCATTGCTGGCCTGTTAGTCCAGAGACCCAGATAATGTTCTGTGGACCCAGGTTCAAATCCTGCCATGGCAGATGGTAGAATCATTACAATAATTCATAAACCATGAATCCATTGCTGATTATCAGGAAAAGACAACCTGGTTCAACTAAGAGATAGTAAGAATTGCCAATGCTGGAGTCCGAGATAACACAGTGTGGAGCTGGAGGAACATAGCAGGCCAGGCAGCATCGTAGGAGCAGGAAAGCTGATGTTTCGATGTTTTCAGAAATTTCTGAAGAAGGGTCCCAACCCGAAACATCAACTTTCCTGGTTCAACTAATGTCCTTTAGGGAAGGAACCTGCCATCTTTACCTGGTCTTTACATCTTTACAGGAAAAAAGTAGATGGGTTACAGTCAGGGGACGGAAAGGGAACAGACAGACAGTGCAGGGATCCCCTGTGGCCGTTCCCCTCAAAAACAAGTATACCGTTTTGGATACTGTTGGGGGGAACCACTTACCAGGGGTAAGCCATGGGGTACAGGTCTCTGGCACAGAGTCTGTCCCAGTTGCTCAGAAGGGAAGGGGGGAGAGGAGGAGAGCATTAGTCATTGGGGACTCCATAGTTAGGGGGACAGATAGGAGATTCTGTGGGAATGAGAGAGACTCGCGGTTGGTGTGTTGCCTCCCAGGTGCCAGGGTCCGTGATGTCTCGGATCGTGTTTTCGGGATTCTTAAGGGGGAGGCGGAGCAGCCCCAAGTCGTGGTCCACATAGGCACCAACGACATAGGTAGGAAAAGGGATGAGGACGTAAGGCAGAAATTCAAGGAGCTAGGGTGGAAGCTTAGAGCTAGAACAAACAGAGTTGTTATCTCTGGTTTGTTACCCGTGCCACGTGCTAGTGAGGCAAGGAATAGGGAGAGAGAGCAGCTGAACACATGGCTACAGGGATGGTGCAGGAGGGAGGGATTCAGATACCTGGATAATTGGGGGTCATTCAGGGGTAGGTGGGACCTCTACAAACGGGATGGTCTACACCTGAACCAGAGGGGTACCAATATCCTGGGGGGGAAATTTGCTAATGCTCTTCGGGAGGGTTTAAATTAACTCAACAGGGGGATGGGAACCTGAATTGTAGCTCCAGTGTACAGGAGGTTGAGAGTAGTGAGGTCATAAGTAAGGTTTCAAGGTCGCAGGAGTGTACCAGCAGGCAGGAAGATGGTTTGCAGTGTGTCTACTTCAATGCCAGGAGCATCCGGAATAAGGTGGGTGAACTTGCAGCATGGGTTGGTACCTGGGACTTCGATGTTGTGGCCATTTCAGAGACATGGATAGAGCAGGGACAGAAATGGTTGTTGCAGGTTCCGGGGTTTAGATGCTTCAGTAAGATCAGGGAAGGTGGTAAAAGAGGGGGAGGTGTGGCATTGTTAGTCAAGGACAGTATTACGGTGGCAGAAAGGACGTTTGATGACAACTCATCTACTGAGGTAGTATGGGCTGAGGTTAGAACCAGGAAAGGAGAGGTCACCTTGTTGGGAGTTTTCTATAGGGCTCCGAAAAGTTCCAGAGATGTAGAGGAAAAGATTGCAAAGATGATTCTGGATAGGAGCGAAAGTAACAGGGTAGTTGTTATGGGGGACTTTAACTTTCCAAATATTGACTGGAAACTCTATAGTTCGAGTACTTCAGATGGGTCAGTTTTTGTCCAATGTGTGCAGGAGGGTTTCCTGACACAGTATGTAGATAGGCCAACAAGAGGCGAGGCCACATTGGATTTGGTACTGGGTAATGAACCAGGCCAGGTGTTAGATTTGGAGGTAGGTGAGCACTTTGGTGATAGTGACCACAATTCAGTTACGTTTACTTTAGCGATGGAAAGGGATCGGTATATACCGCAGGGCAAGAGTTATAGCTGGGGGAAAGGCAATTATGAGGTGATTAGGCAAGATTTAGGATGCATAGGATGGAGAAGGAAACTTCAGGGGCTGGGCACAATTGAAATGTGGAGCTTGTTCAAGGAACAGCTACTGCGTGTCCTTGAGAAGTATGTACCTGTCAGGCAGGGAGGAAGTGGTCGAGCGAGGGAACCGTGGTTTACTAAAGAAGTTGAATCTCTTGTCAAGAGGAAGAAGGAGGCTTATGTAGAGATGAGGCGTGAAGGCTCAGTTAGGGCGCTTGAGAATTACAAGTTAGCCAGGAAGGACCTAAAGAGAGAGCTAAGAAGAGCCAGGAGGGGACATGAGAAGTCTTTAGCAGGTAGGATCAAGGAAAACCCTAAAGCTTTCTATAGGTATGTCAGGAATAAAAGAATGACTAGAGTAAGATTGGGGCCGGTCAAGGACAGTAGTGGGAAGTTGTGCGTGGAGTCCGAAGAGATAGGAGAAGTGCTAAATGCATATTTTTCATCAGTATTCACACAGGAAAAAGACAATGTAGTCGAGGAGAATACTGAGATACAGTCTATTAGACTAGACGGGATTGAGGTTCATAAGGAGGAGGTGTTAGCAATTCTGGAAGGTGTGAAAATAGATAAGTCCCCTGGGCCGGATGGGATTTATCCTAGGATTCTCTGGGAAGCTAGAGAGGAGATTGCAGCGCCTTTGGCTTTGATCTTTATGTCATCATTGTCTTCAGGAATAGTGCCAGAAGACTGGAGACTAGCAAATGTTGTCCCCTTGTTCAAGAAGGGGAGTAGAGACAACCCTGGTAATTATAGACCAGTGAGCCTTACTTCGGCTGTGGGTAAAGTGTTGGAAAAGATTATAAGAGATAGGATTTATAATCATCTAGAAAGGAATAATTTGATTAGGGATATTCAACACGGTTTTGTGAAGGGTAGGTTGTGCCTCACAAACCTTATTGAGTTCTTTGAGAAGGTGACCAAACAGGTGGATGAGGGTAAAGCGGTTGATGTGGTGTATGTGGATTTCAGTAAAGCGTTTGATAAGGTTCCCCATGGTAGGCTATTGCAGAAAATACGGAGGCATGGGATTGAGGGTGATTTAGCGGTTTGGATCAGAAATTGGCTAGCTGTAAGAAGACAGAGGGTGGTGGTTGATGGGAAATGTTCATCCTGGAGTTCAGTTACTAGTGGTGTACCTCAAGGATCTGTTTTGGGGCCACTGCTGTTTGTCATTTTTATAAATGACCTGGATGAGGG